CTATAACAAACTAATGGACTTAACCAGGAAAAAGCTGTGTTTAGTTCTAAAGCTTGTCACATAAAAGGAATTTTAACCTCTTTGGGGTTTCTTTTTTTGGTTTTCTTTCTTTTTTTGACCCCCCCATAGGCCATTTTTCCAACATTTCAGAACTACGGAACATGTATACCTTGATAGTTGTGTGTGAAAATTTATAATGAGCACTTTGTGGGGTTGATCAGAACCCCATTGAAGGGAACACAGAGGTTGGCTTAGACATTAAATATAGAATTACAATAATTTAGGCTTCAAAGTCAAAATTCAGATAAAGCAAATAAAAAATGCTACTGTGCCTTTGAATTTCAGGCTCCACTCTTCTAAAAAGAAAATTGCATTTGAAGTGGTCAGCATGCAGATATTGGCCATGTGTTTTGATTTTCTTGTAGAATCTTAGCCCTCTCTGATCAACTGAAAGTCATTATGCAGTTAACAAATGCTCACTTTTCAGTAGTGACCCATAATCTCCAGTGTGAGCATATCCTTAAATACTTAGATGTACATGGGGAATTTGTACAATTGAACATAGCTTTGGCAGTGACCAGGTGCCCATTGCAGTAAACGCCTCTGAATGCCAGTTTCGAAGGGCTCCAGTTGTCACGGTCTAAAAAGTCAATGAAAGAGTGAAAGAGATTTACAAAAACATGTGCAACCTTGACTGTTGAGGGCTGAGAGCTGACACATGTTTCAGCATCCTTGCTCTGCTGGTGTGTAAAAACTTGTTGGACCATGCTTGCTTGACCACAAGTCTGAGCTTTTCCAAACAGGTTACAATGTTAGTAGACCAACAGGCAGAGGCTGTTAATTTGAATTATGGAGGAGGCTTGCAGGCTTTGGTGCATTAAACAACCTGCCCAAGGTTGTGCAGAGAGCAGTCTGCTGTTCCCAATGTATAAGGACAAGTGATTTTGTTGAAAACATAGGTCATCCTTAGGTTTTAGCTCAGTTTGAAGGTAATGGGTCTGATCCACTGTTGCTTTACTGCTACTTTATGGTTAGGCACTTCCACTAATATACCTGGAGTTTTAGTCTACTGTCTACTGGTAGTCTGTGGAAAATACTGACATTCCTAATTGTTTAATAAATCTTTAATGGAGCTTTTAGTGTGTGTGAGGGTATGCATATTAATTTGTGTATGCGTATTTAAGTATTAGGAAAAAAGTAAGGCTGTTGAGAGACTCCTGCAAGATCTAGAGAGAGAAATGTACAATCACAGATTATAATAAAGTGTAAAGGTTTTCCACTCCTTAAAATGGAGAAGTTGACATATTAAATTGCATGTACTCTAATGATGTGGACTGACTCAGAGAATTTGAAGGAAATAACAGCTGTGCACATCAAAGCTTAAAAATAGAAATTTCATCAGTCAGTAGCAGTTTAGAATGAATGAAGAAGTCACAAAATTATTAATTATGATGGCGAGAGAAAGGAAACATAAAGTTCAAACTCTCTGGAGGCAAAATGCAGTCTTCAATCATGTAGCACATCTGCTGGGTATCATCCCCTTGTCCTGCTGAGCCACTGTGTAAAGGTGGGGGCTGTTGCCCAAACACAGGCACCTCCTGCCATTTCAGATACTGGAAGATGATTGAGACTGCCCACCTGGCTGACAGATACGACATGGGGCATATGGGAGACTCCTGCTGTTCTGGAGTGGCAGCTGGGTGCCCCGAGGTGTCTCAGACGGCAGTAGATGCTTCTGTGTAAGGAGTAATTGCACAGAGGCATAAGTACAGACTCACTTTCACTTGCATCTTTAATACACAGTCACCTGAAGCACATCAGTAGTGCATAGCAGTGTTTGCAGTGGGTAATCGCAGAAAGCAATGAACAGTTTATCTCATTTTAAACTTAGGAAGAATTTTGAAGTGAATAGAGCATTTACCCAGGTTAAAATCTGGCCAGGATATAAGGTTAAAATCTATCCTAGTGTTAAAAATTATGATTTAAAGTTGCAGTGGATGGTTGTTCTCTTAATGACCTCAAAACCATGAATTCATGCTAACATTTGCCTTTTTATATATTCATAGTTAAATATAACTTGAATGTTGTCCTAATTACATTCTCATGTTAATTTAGATCTGATTCAGAACTTCTATCATTATTCTTTGTAGAATTATTTTGAAATTATGGAAGGTTTGGTAAAGATGCTCCAGTATGTGATTGTGCCTTTGAATTATTTATCACATTCGAAGACAGAAATATGGTTAAAATCTAGTTTGAGTTGTAAATGAGTCTTGGTAATGTAAGGAGGAAGTGAAGATCCTTTCCACAGTATGGCATGGTTTATGGGCACATTGTTTGATATTGCAGGAATGCTTTGCAGCCCCACATGAACAGAGAGCCTCACAGCTTAGTAAGAAAACATCCATTGCACCAACCAGAAAATGCTATCTAAGCAGATAAAACAGATGAAATATGGAAGAGGAGAGAGAGAGGTACAGAGACAACTTGCCCAAATGACAGAGCAGATTAGTGACAGAATTAAGAAGAGAGAACAGATGTCCTGTCTTGGTCACAACCAGCACTCACACCACACTCTCTCCCTCTGCTTTGTGCTATGGAAAAAAAAGCTCTTGCAAGCAGCATTTAGCCCATGTTTTTCACAATGCGTCATGGTGGCAAGTTAGTACAGTGTTAATATAAAGTTGTAGAAACCATGATTAATGCAAAAATTCATACTTGTGGCTCTGGCCCTGAGCTAGATAGAGAATAAACAATTGCTGGTGAGGTCCATGCGAGTCTGAGAGGATGAGAAACTGGGAACAAATTCTAAAGGAGGAAAGGAAACTTGTTTTAATGTAAGCAGTAGTTTTGCTAGAGGTAAGTGAGGGGAAATTCTTCACTTATAAATGGTTCGTTGACCCATGATAATAAAGCAGTGCTGCAGAAGAAGGATAATTATCTACTTAAGTATCAGATGCCCTGAGGGTAAAAGCTACCCTTCTCTGCTTTTGAAAAATGAACTCAGATTAAAAGAATGTCCTTTTTCCTGTTTTAGTGTTGACATGGATTTCCTTTTTATGAGTAAAATTAATTAGTTTTTCTATTCCTTTATTCCTGGTATGGAAATCAGGTCTGCCAAGCAAGATTCCAGCTCTTCCCCTGGGCCCTAAGTTCAGCCAATAGCATCCTTTATGGAGGTGCTTTGTACAGTGTGCTGGGAAGGCACAAATAAATTACAGTTTTATGATGCCCAGTGGCTTGCCAGGAGGCACAGCATTTTAGAACTAAAACCCCACAAAACTAGGCTTTTTGTCCCCATCCAGTATTGGTTTATTTCCAACTACCTGCTTTCTAAATACATATTTCTCCTTTCTTAAATTTTAATACCACAAGTTGCAGCAAGAGAAAAAGAGAATAGTGGTGGCATAGCTGATACTGTACTAAAAGTAATGAGGGCCAGATTTTCAAGGCAGATTAACACCCATAGCTCAGTCCAGTCTTCCCCTGTTCTGTTGAGAGCTGCTAGTTGTGGAGCTCACTCAAAATATCTGCCCCCACTTTAGCAAATATCCATTACAATCTTGTCTGTCCTCATCTGGACTCTGAAAAATGATCAAAACTTGCCCCTATTTCTCTATTTCCAAAAAATGTCTAGTTTTCTGTCCAATCAAAATTATAAGTGTGATTCCTGTGATAAACTTGGTGAATGTAAATATGTTGTCTCTGTGTTTATGGAAATAAATCATCTTTTGCATGTATTAATCCTTATTTCAAACGTCTTACGCATTTCTTGAAAATCAGGCTGATGTAACCTTTGTGTGAACCTATTAACTACAGAGCATCTCCTAGTTACCTTTCCTGGAGTATAGAAAATATTCCTGAATACCTGCAGGCTTTAAGATGCAGTAAAATTATGGATGACTGTAATACAGTGGCATAGAACTTACTTTTCTTCAAATAATCCTTTGAACTTGTTTTAATACTGAAAAAATAAGTAGTTGTTAATTTTCTTGCGAAAGTTCAAGTGGTATTAAAGGTGAATTTAAGGTCTTTATTTTGCAAACAGAATACTACAGTATTCTGACTATAGTCAGAAAAAAATAATCCTGTCTGCATGGAATTGAAATGAGAATCAAGTCCCAAGTACTTGCTTGTAGGATTTACATAACTGAGGCTGTTCTAAGAATTTTGGACCCTATTAATATTGTTACAAAATTGACTTTCAAGTGAGGAATCATTGCATTTATTAATTCTTTTGAACACAGCAGATGAGATGACTGAATAGTGTCTGTGTACTTCCATTGTTTACTTTATAGCTTTATTTCACTGACTCATGAAGTGCAGTCACCAAGGTAGAATAAAATCAAAGTATATTTATAGTGTTGTGAACACCACACTTAAAAGGGAATAGACTTAATTATCTTAATGTATTGCTAAAAACATATAATATTTATAACAGGAGTGCGTTCCTTGTGAATGGTAATTAATGTGATGAAGAAATAAGTGACCTGCTATTATCAGCATAGCATCAGCTTTTCACGTTTAGGTACCTAAAATTAGAAGTCTAAGATCAAGATTTTAAAAAATACATACCACCTATGTGGAAAAGCATTGTAAAATTGCTGTCTCACACACATCTTAAATTCCTTTGGCTTTCCCCCCATTTTTAATCACAAAGAAAAAATGTCTCTGACTTTCAGAGGTGTTAAATACAAACATCTCTCCATCAAAATGTAACTTTGAGTCTGTGAAAACTTTGCTTTCCTTCAGCAGTAACATATGGACCTTAGTTTAGACATTTGCCCATATCTGTGGGATTTAAGGAAACTTCTGAACAAAGCATCATATGATTCTCTGTATTTTGCCTTATGTTTCAGTTGCTCTTGCTGTAATCCTTTGAGAGGAAGAGTTTAGGCAATCCAAAGATGATCAGAAGCAGGTTACAGGCTAGGGATTGAGGCACTTGGCCTTCTGGACCACTCAGACTTGTGTTTGTGCCTTGACAATACCACCTTCAGATGTCCTTGTTTGTCCTCTGCGGCTGGTGGAGCGTTTCCGTGACTTGGGTCCTGAGGAAGTGGCTGATTTATTTTGTACGGTGCAAAGGGTTGGCAATGTGGTGGAGAAACACTTCTGCAGCACCTCGCTCACCATTTCAATTCAGGTTTGTAAACCAGTCAATTAAAAAAGATTTAATGGTTTGTTTTATCAAGCTTTCAACCTTCTTCCCTAGTCCAATGACAAAAGGACATTCAAACTTCAAGTAGTAATAAATGCAAAATAATAATTATAAAAAAAGAAGCATAATAACTGCATTGCAGTCTGCCAGATTTGCCACTGAAAAAAACCTAAAAGGCAAACCAGCAGAAAGCTATGGATAATTAATAACTGCAAAATTTTTGAATATGCCTGCAAACACTCCCAAATGCAGTGCTTGCTTGCTTGTATTTCCGCAAATACTCTTCCTCAAAGAAGTATTTGCAGGACTGACCTAGAGAAGGCAGCCACACCTCCCCATTCAGCAGGTAACCCACTGTTTGTGGTGGAAACAGGTAACTCCTGCTTACAGCTATTTACATGTAGGCAGAGAGATGTAGCCATGTAAATATGTCATCACTTCTGACCTTTCAGTTATTTGTGCTGAGTGTTTTTATACCAAAAAAGATCTCTGTTTAAAGCAAATCAGGAGACTAAGACCATTTAATTAGAATAAGAATTTAAGCAAGCATGCTTTGATTAAATTCTCACTTGCATGTCTGATTTTGTGTTCACAAAGATCATAAATCTATTGCTGTTTAAAAATATGATCTGAAAGAATGAAAAATAAAAGCTGTCTTTTTTTGTGGGCTAAGATACAGTTTCTCACTTTAACATGGCCTGATATGGAAAGGTGCCTTGTCCAAAAACTTTGTTTTAATAGTCCTCAGAAAAATATGCTAAATTAACATACGGTGTAATTGGATGTAAATGATTACCGAGTAAAGATCTCTGAATTCCTGTGTGATCCTTGTTAGTTCCTCTAACCTGAGGCTTCTCCCTTTGCTTACAGGATGGCCCTGAAGCTGGACAAACGGTGAAGGTTAGTGCTTATTATGCAGAATACAAATTAAGAAACAATTATAAGAACTAATAAAAGATCAAAGCTAGTCATCTGCAGACCATTGCTGTATCGTTATTTTATCCTTGAGATCAAAAAATCCCAAGTGTACAATAGCTGTAAATATTTTTTATTGAAATTGCACAGCATAATGTTTACAGGTTTTCTTTCTAGACAAAAATTTCCAATCATAAAAATATCTTTTCTAAGCTGTTGGGTGTATTTATGCAAGGAAAGTCTCAGAAAAGAGGCATCTGTTTTAAGTTTTTTGTTTGTTTTATGGAGAAAATATTGTCCTTCCATTCATAAACTCTCTGTTTGTCTTTTTATTGCCTAATGAGTTGTAGCTAATTATAGGAACAGTTAAGCTGAACCACATTATGAAAATATACCTTTTATCTATGCTTTCCCTCTACATATTCATATCACATTCTTGTTACTGAAGTTCAAATGTAATGGAGCCAGTGAAGCTTAAAAACAGTTTTTAAGTGTACTTCTGAAAAAAGGTAGGGGGATGGAGGGTTAGAGAAGGATTTATGATTATACTCTTCACTTCAGTAATAACACAGATAACATCCAAGATGGTTCTCCAGCCATGTTTCACTGCCTCATAATGCAAATGCAAATGCATGTGTAGTTAGATTATATGCCTGAACATTAGATAAAGGCTATTTTTTACATTTAGAATCAAAGGAAAGTCAAATATGGCTATGGGTTAGCACTTTGTAAAATCAAATTAGATGTCTCAAAGAAGCTGTTTGGGTTGATTAAGATAACTCTAACAACCAAATGATGGTGTATAGAAACACTCTCCTTCTTTCCAATTTGCTGTATTGACCTTATTTTTCCTAGTCCTTTTTGTTGCCTGCTTTGAATATTTAACAGAGAGGTAATAGGGAGAAAGAAGAATAAAGTGGAAAATCTCCAAGCTTTGGGAAGCTGAGTAGTGGTGAAGGAGCATAATACAATTTACTTCAGTACTGCAACAAAACAGATTTCTCGGCTTGTGACTTAGAGTGCATTGGGTGGGTTTCACTGGGAAAGTCTGTTGATAGGTTAAATACTTTCCAAAGTAAATTTTATCATTTACCATAATCATCAAAACCAACATATTTTAACAAACAGATTTCTTTTGGCATCTTGGACAAATGTTTTTTTTATGTGTAAAGAAAAGCTTTATAGGAATGATTATATTAAAATATGAGAAAATTTGTTAATATGAATGAGCAAAACTAGATGTGTGATTGTGAGGAGTAGCAAATGCTTATGCAGGCCTTTAAAAGTCAATAAATTCTGTATCATTTTGTACTGGGACTGGAAACAAAGAACATTAAGTGTTAATCTGTCCAATACATTGCAGAATGGTAGCCACCCTTCATGCTTCCTTCTTGCACTTTTAATAAGCAATGAGATGAAAATGACCTACTCTTATAGCTGAGAACCCCTAGACTCTTTAATAAATAGTGTGTATTCATAAATCAGAGGTTAGCAGTTTGCGTTTTTCTACTTTTCTGCATCATTGGGCAACGCTGTAATTTATCATCATCACTTTGGGATGTTTATCATCCAAAAATGCCAACAACTATTTTCTTCAGAGAACTCAGAGCTTTCAGAACTTGAATTGGGGAGGAAATTACTATGATCAAGATCTTCTTTAAAGTGAACAATAGAGTGGATATATAAATAGCTAGTTCCATTTAAACTGTTTTGAATCAGAAAGTTTGAAAAACTACCTATGTGATCTACAAATAATTTCTGAACCTTAAATTCAATGTCGTGTTTCTCTATGTATTTTTCTTCTTGTATCACAATGCACAGTAATCCTGTCTTCCTCTAAGGGAACTTTTAATTAAAATTTCTGGAACAGACTAAACATTAGTAAAACATTCTAATAGTAAGAATAGCAAAGCATCACAATATCCAAGGGAGTTTGTGGAGACTCTGTTTCAGTAGGGTAGGCAAGTGTATGTCAGGAGTTAATTAGGTGTAGCTGATCTTGCTTTGAATGGGGTCACATACCAGATGGCTTCAAAAGCCTTTTCCATTCATATTTTGTATAATTCTGTGTACCTGTATGAATACAGACTACTGTATGTGCTACATAGGAAAAAAATTACAGGAAGCAGGGGAAGAGTACTGGCTGTTAAGTTGATTACTGCAAAGCTTTACTATAAAATGGGAAGAGATATCAGGCTAGCTGAAGACAAAAACTGAGAAAATTTTATCTGAAAAATATTAGGAAAATCTTTCCTTGTCAACAAGAAGGAATGATAATCCTTGTCCAAGAAAAATTTTGAACCTCAGTTTGAGTCTCAGGTTTTTCTTATTTTTTTGCTAAAAATTATATGTACAATGCATGCAGCAGGTTTAAAGGAGATTATCCTTTAGGCGTGATTTTGTGTAGAAATCAATTATCAGATTGTCTGACAATCTTACATGTTCATTCTACTGGTGTGTGCAGGTTTCAGTCAGATGTATCATGTACTGCAATGTCAGGACACATCAGTGGTGCCTCTTGGTCTAAAACCTTCCTAGTCACCTAATGGGAAGCTGTTTATAATCTAACATGTAGCTCTGTTATTGCTTTACTCTCTTTCTTGTGAATACCGTCCTCCTTTGAATCGAAGTTAGCAGAACCTGCAGTACAGCATTCTAGGGAAGCTTATGATCCTTTCAAGTTCTCCCATTATTGCAGTCTGTATGTTTGCATTGGAAGGGTCTTTGGAAGAAATTATACTTATACCTTGACCCTCAGCTCGCCAGTACTTTGGAAGTGTAGATGGGTCTTTTTTTACCCTTTAGCAGCTGGAAATATACATTTGCTAAGGAATTCTGAACTATGTCCCAGCTCTCAGACCATAAAAAAATGCAATATATTGCTTCATAATCTTTTTCATAGCAGTCCACAGATTGTGCCTATTCCATTCCTGTCACCTATTTATGAGAGGGACAAATGTCCCTCTCCAGAGGTGGTCACAGACTTGCACACTTTGTGTTTTATAGCAAGAGGGTCTTGTACCAACTCACAACAGAGAAACTCAGTGTCTCTGAGCAGTGTGTCAACAAGCATAACCATTTTCCAGCATTAAATACATTTTTGAATACTTGATCCTTCTTACTTGACAAAGGAATGAAATTGTATTTAGGTACTCTCATAAAGAATATTTATCTCTGCAATTTTGAGCTGTTTTGCTTGGAGAACACAAAACCCATGGTGTCCTTGTGCCAGAAATGGAGGGTGAGTTTTGTGCTATTTCTGTTTGAGAATGCTTTAAATATCCAGGCAATTTCATGGATCAGGGAAATCAGCTCTGCATCTTAATGCAAGGCTCTTATTGCTATGTCAAGTGAGTGACGTTTCAAGATTTCCCCAGTATATTTTATAGCCTTTTTTTCAGCATCAAGTCAGCAAATGCTCTAGCTGCCTTGGTGGATGTATAGCATATAGTGTAGAATAAACTCTCAGGTTTACCTTTTACGTAAGATTCAATCATAAGAAACTCCATGTACTCTGTACAGGCTAAACAAATCAAGCTGGCAGGAGCATGATGCAACTAATTTATCTGTAGAGACAAGATAATATCGCACAGTAAGTGTCCATTGCACAAACACATATGAATACACACTCTATTTTGCAGCAGTGTCAGAATCTCCAGCAGCTCAGCACCTCCACTGTTATCCGTGAGTAAGTGCCTGTTTGCCAGTTACAGGTTCATGTAAATAAATGAGAAAGTGAGGCTGATGGTGGCAGTGTGGGTATATGTGCAGAAATTTATTCTATATGTCACACATTCCACTAATTATTTTACACTGAGAAGATTGTCTCATGATTAATTTTTGATGTACATGTTTTTCTTTCCCAGATGCTTTTTTAATGCTGTGTTAAATCAATCCACCTGGTTTGCATTCTTTAGAAATCTTAACCTGAACTGTGGAGTCTAGGTTTTCTTTAAGCCCACAGCAAACTGCTCTTTCATACTATTTGTCTACTTATCTCTGGACCTGAAGTACTGGACTTCAGGTTTGAGTCTTTAAATTTAATCAGATCGCATTGCAGACTGATTGCATCAGAAGGATTCAATTCACTAACTGCAATACTTTTGATGCCTCTGCCTGCTTTCCCTGCAGACTTGGCAGATGTAAGTCCTTGTTTAATGGAGTATTGGAAACCACCTTTTGCTCTCTTAAAAGAACAAAAAAAAGCTGGTTGAAAAATGCAAAGATTTTTTTCTTAGTTCCTAAACAAATATAAAAATTCAGGTATAAAAACATGGAAAAAGAAACAAGTTTTTGAAAACCAGATTGTAGTGAAACGTGAACAAATGGTCTTGTTTGCTTTACTCTTAAGAACGATGATTCTCTTGAAGGTTTGTGGGATGTCCAAAAATGATTTGATGAAGTACAGCAGTCTCTTTGAATAGCTTTGAGAACCACAGTAATAGTATTTGATTGGAGAATATGTAATATTGCAGACAGGTAATTGGTACAGCAAATTCCATGGTCTCAGGGCTGCTATGTCAGTTTTGAGCTCATAATTTTCTTTCTATTTCAGTACTGTGCTTAGAATGGGGTGAATTTTGTTGAGATGTTAGTAGTGTATATTTTCAAAGCTAGGATTATACTGCCCCTTACAGAGATGGGGAAGCAGTAGTGGCATCCAAATAGTTTGCCTCCTGCCTCCCTTAACGTCTTTTGCTAGCTCTTTGTTTTCTACTCACTCTAAATAATAGTTTTTGCCCTTTCTTTCAAAGCCCTTTTCAAACTCTGCCTTGTGTTGGTCTAATTCTCCTTTTAGTCCCTTAGCCAGACCTATGTTTTCTATGATTCAATTAATGGGTATAGCCCTAGAGTCCCATTTTCCTCTTTGCTTTGTGTCGTGGTTTGGGCCTGGTTGGCAGCCAACCACAATGCAGCAGCTCTCTCTCCCTTCCCCTCTGGCAATGAGAAGGGACAGAGAGCCAGGCTTGGGGCTCAAAATAGGA